GCCCCAGCAAACGCTGTGATTTTGCCACCGGGTGATGGGGAACCGCTGTGGGTGCTGCTGTGGGGGGGCCTTGGGGCTCTCCGGTGGCTCTGCCCAAATTGGGCACGGCAAGGTTTGGGGGGGCCCCGGGTCACTAACAAGGAAAGCACCTGGGGGTGTGAAGGTAGGTTAAATCCTGCAGCTGGGAAAAAAAAAACCAAACAACTTCTTATTTTCCTTATAGAGACTGACAGGGAGAAACCAAATGAGGCTTTCATGGAAAAAAAATAATTGGATTTATTCCTTCCAAAACCAAAAGTATTGTGTGTCTGTGTGTCCCGCGTTATGGTTTTGTTTAAAATGCTGGGAAAAATAACGATGAACCTCTCAGAGACAAAGTAAAGCCAACTTTTAACTGTCTCCCACCACTGGATTTATTTTTTTTTTTTTTGGTGCTTTAATCATGGGTTATGGATATCTGCTGTGGGGGGGGGACATGGTTGGGTTCCAACTCTCTTCCCATCCTTTGGGCAAGGCTAACGTTGTTTAAAAACCTTTATGCTTCCATTTTTGCCTTTTATTGGTTTCCTATGGTGCCGGCTGGGCGGGGCCCCAGCAAACGCTGTGATTTTGCCACCGGGTGATGGGGAACCGCTGTGGGTGCTGCTGTGGGGGGGCCTTGGGGCTCTCCGGTGGCTCTGCCCAAATTGGGCACGGCAAGGTTTGGGGGGGCCCCGGGTCACTAACAAGGAAAGCACCTGGGGGTGTGAAGGTAGGTTAAATCCTGCAGCTGGGAAAAAAAAAACCAAACAACTTCTTATTTTCCTTATAGAGACTGACAGGGAGAAACCAAATGAGGCTTTCATGGAAAAAAAATAATTGGATTTATTCCTTCCAAAACCAAAAGTATTGTGTGTCTGTGTGTCCCGCGTTATGGTTTTGTTTAAAATGCTGGGAAAAATAACGATGAACCTCTCAGAGACAAAGTAAAGCCAACTTTTAACTGTCTCCCACCACTGGATTTATTTTTTTTTTTTTTGGTGCTTTAATCATGGGTTATGGATATCTGCTGTGAGATTGAACAGTGGTTTTTTAATTAGGAAAGGGTGTGTCTCTCTTTTTTTTTTTTTTTTTTTTTGTCAGTTTTGCTGTGAGGTTTCTCTCCTTGTGGCTTATTTCCAAAGAATGAGGTGATTTGCTGGCTGATCAGCTGCGTAGCCCCTGCCTGATTTGTGTGGGGTAGAGACTGCTGAGTTAAAAGAAATTACATCGCTTATCAAGCTTTTTTTTTTTTTCCCCCTAAGATTTTACAAGCTTTATGAGAAAACTTGGAAAGTAGAAATAAAGAGGCTGGGAGTTGAAAAATATTTATATTGTGTGTGGCAATCTCAGCTTCTGTGTATGTTGTGCTTTGGGGCCTGGACAAAACAAACAGACAGAAGTAACTTTTGATGAAAATTAATGATATTCAGCTGGAAACCTGATGTCAATGGAGGCTAATGGTCTCTAATTAGCGTTGATAGTGGTGGGGGTGGTGCTTGTGGCCCCAGAGGGAAGGAGGGTGAGGATGGAGAGGTCTGGGAGAGGAGCACCCCGCGGTGGATGCCCACAGCCCAGGGGGGTTTTGCAGGGAGGTAAGCTAAAAATGGTTTGTTTTCTCAAGTGACAAAAATCAGGTGTTTTAGAAATGTGGGAGAAGAAAGGAGAGAAAATAATGTGAGAAACAAAAATGGTGTGGGCGCAGTGTTTGGTTGCTTTAATTTGCTCTGTCTTTGCTGACAAATAAAAGAATCAGAGAGGAGCCGTGTTCCCCCAGCCACCCCGGCTGCCTGGGCTGTGCCTGACACACTCTGTTCCTCAATTGCATTTAATATATTCTTCCATGTAAACGATAAAACCTGAATTCCTCGTTTAAAAGCTTCCTGTGCCCTGGACACATTTAATAAACCCAGCCATCTCCATATACCTCAAATGAGTGAGAGGCTGCTGTTGGGATGACAGTAATTTATTCTCCCCCTGTGAAGTGCAGGTGGGAAGATGATAATTCTGGCACATTTGGGTCCTAGTTCGCTTTTGTATCTCGCTTTCTTTCCCACTTCATGTGTTTATGTTTATCTGTCTGTTATCTGGCTCAATCAGGTTTTTTCATCTGTGTGAGCTGGGGGCTCTCTGCCAGAACAGCTGCCTTCAATCCCTGTTTCCCTTGGGTTTATTTCCCCCCCTCTCCCCACCCCCTTTGCATTCCTGGATTATTTGGCCTGGGCGACGTAGGTTAAATCCTGCAGCTGGGAAAAAAAAAACCAAACAACTTCTTATTTTCCTTATAGAGACTGACAGGGAGAAACCAAATGAGGCTTTCATGGAAAAAAAATAATTGGATTTATTCCTTCCAAAACCAAAAGTATTGTGTGTCTGTGTGTCCCGCGTTATGGTTTTGTTTAAAATGCTGGGAAAAATAACGATGAACCTCTCAGAGACAAAGTAAAGCCAACTTTTAACTGTCTCCCACCACTGGATTTATTTATTTTTTTTTTGGTGCTTTAATCATGGGTTATGGATATCTGCTGTGAGATTGAACAGTGGTTTTTTAATTAGGAAAGGGTGTGTCTCTCTTTTTTTTTTTTTTTTTTTTTCCTCCCCTGCCCACCCCCAGTTAATTGGCCCTTGCTCTGGGTTGCTTACGCTTCATTCTTTTCTCCTCCTGCAAAACTGGACTGCAAGGCATCTGGCAATGACGGGAGGGAACAGCTGCGAACCCTGGACTTATCCCAGGGCCTCTTCATAACCGGGCATGCACTGCTGCTGTTTGTACAACCCCGGGGCTTTGGGGTTTGTTAGGGATAGTGGCTGCTCCCTTCCGTCAGCGTTTGCCCTTGTCCCGGTTGCAGGGCCTGACATCGAGGCCGGGGCCGCCTCTCCTTCCTTGGCCTTAGGGCTGCCTCGGCCCTGCTTGGGGCCCGTGTTCGAGCAGCAGTTCGAGACCCGGTTGACGTTGTTAGGAGCGACGGGCCGGGTGAAGCGGAGCTGCTCCGCCACGGGGGAGGCGGGGGCCGTTAGGGCCGGGCCCCGCTCACCGCTCCCCCCGCCTCGCCCCCGGCTGCCTGGGCTGTGCCTGACACACTCTGTTCCTCAATTGCATTTAATATATTCTTCCATGTAAACGATAAAACCTGAATTCCTCGTTTAAAAGCTTCCTGTGCCCTGGACACATTTAATAAACCCAGCCATCTCCATATACCTCAAATGAGTGAGAGGCTGCTGTTGGGATGACAGTAATTTATTCTCCCCCTGTGAAGTGCAGGTGGGAAGATGATAATTCTGGCACATTTGGGTCCTAGTTCGCTTTTGTATCTCGCTTTCTTTCCCACTTCATGTGTTTATGTTTATCTGTCTGTTATCTGGCTCAATCAGGTTTTTTCATCTGTGTGAGCTGGGGGCTCTCTGCCAGAACAGCTGCCTTCAATCCCTGTTTCCCTTGGGTTTATTTCCCCCCCTCTCCCCACCCCCTTTGCATTCCTGGATTATTTGGCCTGGGCGACGTCGGAAATGCACCGTGTGGGGCTGAAATTATGGGAAGCTGGAAGATGATGGTTTTGGGGACTCTGGAGGTTTCAGGTCTGTGTAAGACCTTCCTCTTCCAGTTGGGTTCTGGTGGGGCTGAAGCAGAGGATGGGCAGAGCCATGGTCCCTGGGTGGGCTCCTCAATATTCCCCACCGGGAGGTGACAGTGGTGGTTTGTGGGCACCATGAAGTTCATACACTTCTTGGTGCCTTTCTCATGGGACACTGTGTGCTTCATTATGGAAAACCTGCTCTCATTAATTAGGTTTGTTGATTACAAGGCACCTGCCTTGCGCTGTGTCCACTGAGTGCTTTTTGGTGTTTCTATAAGACAAGTTGTGCCATAAATTGGGTTGTTTTTATTTTTTGAGCCGTTTGTTTATGGACCTGCAGAGCTGGGTTATTGACTGCCTAGTTTTGGAGCATGCTGGAGGAGTACTTAGACGTGTGCTTGGTGGCCTTTTCCCCTTTCGATTAAGAGGTTATGAAGGAAAATGGGATGTGGGTTGGCAAACTCCTACCACAGCTGCCCTTGGTGTCTTCTGAGAAGTTGGCTACACACGTTATCAATAAGGTGCTTATATTTTTGATGCTATCCCATTAATGTGCTCATCAAGATGTTGGAGCAGGTCAGTTGTACTGTAGTGAAGAACAAAAAAGAGCTGAGGCAAGTGCTGAATGGTGTGTAGGATGAAAACCAGAAAGATAAAAAGGAATAGTGAATGTTTGCCTTAGGGCTGTGAACACAGTCCCTCCTGCTCGCTGAGGGAGTGGGAGGTTCTGCAGGACAAATCGTTCCATTATACAGAGAACCTGAGGATTATGTTTGTACGTCCATTGAACAATATTGTCATTTTGTGAATGTGATACTGTATTTCAATCTCTGTTCCCAAGATACTCTTTAGCATAGATTTATTGCAGGGCTTAGCACCACAGTGGAGATCCTGTGTCTGAAGGTTGTATCAGAGCACTTGAAGGCCATCGGTAATGAGTGAAGATGCTTTAGTGGAAAAAAATCGCCTTGATACGGAAACATTTAGGTGAATGGCTCTGTATTTGGAAGTGACTCTGTATTTGGAAGTACCCAGAAAATGTCTCAGCAAAAGCAGTTGGCAAGAAAACAGGGAGATACCTGGGAAGCAGCAGCGGAGGAGCCAAACCTGGGGGCTGCGATGCCTGCGGTGAGCAGGGCTTTGTTTCTTGAAAGGCATTTCATTATTGATCTCTTGATACAATATTAATGACAGCACCATCCCACTGTAACCTAAAATATAATTTGGTGCCCCGTAATCGAAAGTATTGTAAATTGAATTGATGCATTATTAAAGAGTTCTGAATTGCATGTTCTTTGTGGAGCGTCATTTATGGGGAACCCTGTGTGTGATGCTCGTTTTATAGGTTGAGAGCTGTCTTAGGGGATGATTCAGATATTGCTTTAACTGATTTGTGGTGTGATGCAGCAGAACTCAGGCTGAATGAAAAGCGGCTGCAGCCACCAGGCTGCTCTCCACAGGGTTTTTTTGCATCCTTTTTAACTGTAGTCTTATCTCTTTTTCCCGTCGCTTATGCCCTTATGCACAGGGTTTCATCCAGGTGTAGTCTCTCTCCTGTCTGATAACAATATGTGTTTTATAAACCCAAATGCCATAAGGTTTAATATTTAAATTTAAAAAGTGCCTGTATTTATTCCAAACTTCATGCTGAAATGTACATATCTTTTAAATACAACAGAGCGGAAAACTGGTGTAAGCTAGAGCTGAAATAAGATACTGATAAGGCCAAGATTAGGAGAAACTCAGCAGTAGGAATTTATTGAGGTATTTGTACAGGATTTATTTTTGAGTTATTCACAACATCGAACATATTTTTAAGGCATGTGCACAGCGTTGTGCTTTTTAATGCAGTCGACCTACTGCAGGTGTAATAATTCCATCAGCGATATCCTTTTCCCTGCCAAAATCCTCGGTGTTGTCTGCAGAGGATGCCTTTGGGAAAGGGAAGAATAGAGGGGAGATTTCTTACTGATAGGAGAGGGTGATGCTGTTGGACTGTAGTTTGATTGCAGTGTGCTTAGATAGTGGTTTGTTGTTTTTTTTTTTTCTTCCTAAACAAGCCAGCCAACTGATTATCTCCAGTGGAAGAGCTCCCTGAACAAGTGTAGCATTAAGGGCTGCTTTTTTCTTTCCTCTGCACCCAAAGCAGACAGATGGGAGCCCTTGCCCTACCTCTGCTCAGCCCCATCCTCTGCTCACTGAGTACATCTCTCAAACCATGTCCTAAAAATGCCCTTTTTCCTTTGATTCCTGACTCACCATTTAAGGTAAAGATCTAGTGATTGCCCAGGCCAAAATGTATCTGTGTTTAAAGGCATTTCCCGGCTTAGCGAAGAAATAAAACTGGGAAGAAATTTGTTGGGGTAGTTTGATGTTTGCAGTGGCAGCTTATTGTCGCTAGGAAATGTGGCCTGGGTCAGTCATGGGTTTTTCTATCCCTTTTACCCCCAGCTATAAAAAGGAAAAAGTGCTCAGTCCTGAAAACTCAGGTTATCTGAGATTTTTTTTTCCAATTTAAAGTAATTTTCGGGAAGAATGAAAGATCTCAGCAAGTGAAGCCAGAAAACAACACTGTAAATCAGGGTAGAGGTGTGATGGGATACAAATAAACAAAAGCCTACGGGAGTGATAGAAGGGGGAGGTTTTGGATTATTGCTGTTGAGAAGAGGCAGCTCTTTCACGGGGGAGAGCTGGGATGCCCCAGCAGCTGGATGGAGCTGCACCCTCTGCCCTGCTGTCCCTGAAGGTAACACACACAAACCAGGATGCAGTGACATCGAGGATCAGCAGGAAAAATGCAGTCTGGAAAAGGCTTTGGGTCAACAGTACTGTGAATTTGTAAGAAAAAAAGCAAATAGCGGGAGATTTACAAGGGAAGCAAGTGAAAAGTGTGTTACTCATCTCACTTTAAACAGATCAGGACACAGTAATTAGATAAGCTGGAGGATTAACTCTTCTGCCAAAGCAAGGGAATTAGATGAACTAAGAGGTCTCCTCCTGCTTCTTGGTTTTGTTGCTCT